ACTGCTCTCAACTCTCCCTGCTTTTCTTTCCTATTTCGGTTTTGAAATAACAGCTGGAATCGGACTGCTCTTCTTAGGCTAGACCCATCAACGAGTGGTCAGGGTTTCAAGGATTTCAATCTCATTGGATTTTTTCTTCTCTTTTTTTTTTTTTGCATGTAGAAGGCGGATGTGTCCAAATTGCTTAGATACAAAAAAAAAAATTATAATTAGAAAATAGTGAAATATGGTAATTTTGAAAAGAAAGGTGAAGTGTGTATAATAAACCCAGTGAATTTAAAAGACAAGATAACTTGGAGGGCAGATTAAATCATTCTTTTCTTTTCTTGAGAGATTTTGCTATAGAGTGCATGCACTGATTGGAGCGATAGAGAGAGACAGAGACAGAAAGTGAGAACTCAACCCCCAGGGGGCATGGCCATGCTGCAATCCCTTATCCATTCTTCTCTCAGGATTTTGGGCATGCACGCACATGGACCTGGCATGAGTTTTGAGCTGCCAGATCTGGGACTTAAACCGAAGTCAACCATGTAGGAGTCCAGCACCTTAACCACTACGACACTTGCTGGTCCCTCTTTTTTCCTCTTTGTTTGTGTTAAAGCATGTGGCTGTGTACATTAGAGTGAGAGCGACCCTCTCAGGGCCTGGTCATGCCGGGATCCCTTCCCCCAGTCCTCCAGCCCATCAGATCTGGGGTGCTCATGAGCACCCAAGATTCCAGGTGGACCAGGACGGGGATTCGAACCTCTGTCTCCATATGGGATGCAGCTTTTCTTGAGCAGCATACTACCACTGTGCCACAGAGCTGGCCCTAAAGTCATTCTTTTTCTTTTTTTATTATTTTAAATATTTTTTGTTATAGGGCACATGTGCTTGCCAAAGAGAGATGGTGGGACCGGGGGCTAAGAAAGCACCCTCAGGGAGTGTGACTACCCTGCAATCCCCTTCCCTTTCCTTTCCTCTCAGGACGTTTGGGCACCACATACACTTGACTGGTGTGTTTTTCAAGCCACTGAGTCCAGGACTCATAGCATGTGGTCAGCCATGTGGGATCCAGCCACCTTAACCACCACGCCACCGGGCTGGCCCTAAAGTCATTCTTTAAATGCCCTACAGTGGTAAAATTACCCTGCAGTACGCAGATGTGATTGCAAAAAGAAAACCATTCAGTTAAAGCCAGAGACAAACTTAGTAAGCAGAGGAGGCATAATTAGACATGAAAAACCAAGACAAAGGACTGGAAGTGAGCAGAAGCAAAACTGATGTGAGCTCGTTCCAGGGTTCACGAGAATTACCGCAGACGCCCCTGAAGTGCAGGCGTAGTTACAAAACTGCTGAACGCTACAGTAGGAGTGGGAAAATCTCCCATGGCATACACAAAGTGGAACGCAGGTGTCCGGAAGGAGTTAGCCACTTGGCCACACGTGTTTGTGGAGATGCTGCTGAGGGTCAGGTGGTGTGCTAGGTGCCCGGCGACGGCAGCTAGCACACAGACTGTCCCCGCCCTCGTGGGGCTGGCGTTCCGACCACACACTCAGAGGCGGATGAAAAGGAATTCCGATGGAGATAAGCTCCTCTGCTCTGCTCTGCCCTGCTGCACTGGCCAAAGCAGCTTGTCAGACCAGCTGGAAGGGCTCTGCGAGGCCGTCCCCTCTAGTACACCTGTAGTGGAAAGGACAGCGTCTGGGGTGAGGGGCCCTGGTGGACAGGCATGGAGGATGGTGAGCCAGGGAGTCGGTTGGCCCAGGGCCTTGGTGGGGGAGGCCGAGCAGGGGACACGAGGCCTCCCACACTGTGTGCCGCGTACAGGACAGAGACAGGATGCCACGAGCAGGTTCTGGGTGTGGTTGTCACAGAGGGAGGTGTGCGTTCTCCCCGTGTTTACGGTTACGCACACACACAGCCCCTTTGGAAGGGGTGGCACCCGGTTGGTCTCCTGATGGCCCTCAGCCACAGCTGATTAGTCTGGACCAACTGGCTTCTTCGGGGCTGGGATGCTGAGGTGGGCCAGTTGGTAGTGAGGCAGGAAAGAGGCACATACCTGCACGTAGCCAGGGGCTGTCAGGAACCGGTGCCTACAGGGTAGGGCCACAGGCCGCTCTGTCTAGCTCTGCTGGCCCTTTGCTGCCTTTCCTGGGACCTTTCCGAAGTGCCGTTTGCATAGTCTTAAACAAACTTCCTTTGGGACCAGCAGTTAGCGTAATGGCTATGTCGCTGGACTCCCATGTAGTCGACCTTGGTTCACGTCCTGGACCCGGTGGCTTAAGACTCACACCGGGCACGTGTGCGTGCATGCCCAAGATCCCAAGAGGAGAACGGAGGAGAAGGGATTGCGGTGTGGCCATCCCCCCTGGGGGGTGATTTCTCACTTTCTGTCTCTCTCTCTCTCTGTCTGGCGAGTGCATGTGCCCTATAGCAAAATCCTCTCCAAAAAAAACCCACTTCCTTTTACTAGAGGACTGGAATGAGTTTCTACTCTTCATGATAGACTTATAATGTCTTGGTCAAATCTTTTGAGAAATAATGGGTAAATATGCAGGACTTGTCAGAACCTTTAGTATGCTAATATGTATGGTGTCTTTCCAAGATGGGGTCAGGGTCTGTGGTGTTTCCCAAACTCCTGGGAATCTGGCGTGGCTAGGGTGCTGCAGAATGGGCTCTGGGGATGCTGATGCGCTTACTCCCCCCTCACTGTACAACTAAGGCAGTCAGAGCACAGAGAGGGACAGTGATTTACTCAAGGTCGCACAGCAGGTTAATTGCAGAGAAGGTTCTGGAATCTAGGGCCTCCCGGTGTCCCTCCTATCACCATCCAGTTGACATCAGGCCTCCTTGTTTGAATGATCCACGTGCTGAGATTCCAGGGCCCGGCGGAGTGATGGGAATGCAGGTCACTTGTAGACTCCAGGGAAAGGTGGGGCAGGAATTGAAGGTCAGGCCTTGGTGAGAAAAAAACCGTGTCTTTTTTTTTTTTTTTTTCTTGAGTGCTAGCTGGGGCTTCCGCAGGGCCTGGGG